TATATATACATCTTTTTAAAAATATTTACGACAGATGGCATATAAACTTATACATAATAGATAACTACAATAAATGAGCAATTGACATTATTATCAACAATAAATTTGATTTCAATTTAGCTCTCAATCAAAAGATGGACCTTGGGACTCCATGAGTTAGTTAATAATATATCACATCTCATCAAAATAAGCATTATTTCCTTAAATATAAAAGTGTGTATTTAATTCATTTAGAAAAATGAAGTAAATGTTAGGCATTACAGCATGCCATATTGTTCTCTTTTTTTAATAAATAGTATAATTTACGTATGTTTGATGGCGTTTGAAGAAAATGTAATAAATTAAAAATTTAAGAATTTATTAGGATTCTTTTACTTTTATGCAGTCCGTGTCGCAAGCTTTCACCAGCATGAAACTATTTCTAATTTTTTTTTTTAATAAATGCAACTGTTACAAACAATAAACAATTAACAAAAATGTATCGGTGCATAAGAAAAATGCACTGTTATAAGTTCATTTGTTATGTAACAAATTCCATCAAATTTTCCATCCAATATTGTTACTCGGTCGCATTGAGAGTCGCTGATCACGAATATGTAGTTACGCTCTCCGGGGTACCTAGGGCCTAGGGCGATCGTCATACACGTCATCTCCAGGAATTATGTTTTAAATTCATTAGAATCAATTGAAATTAGTTATTCGGGGGTTTTAAGGGTTGTTGAACACGTTATAATATATTCGTATTCAGCGGCCCTCAAATGTTGTAAGCTAAAATTACGTAAAATTCTCGAACAAAAAACATATGCTGTTAGTAGAAGTAACAGTGATACTTACTTCAACTTGCAACAATAAAAATGCATAGGAATTGGCTAATTTTATTATTTATAAAAAATATTTGTAAAAGAAAATAAAACAAAATGTATCCTCTCTGTCCGTGTGTCACAGTCAATTTTCTCCGAATCTACTAGATCGATTCTGTTGAAATTTAGTACACGAATGAATTTCTGTGATCCAAACACGCACGCATAATGTAAATAAATTAATTTTGAACATGGGGATCATTTTTGGGGTCCAATAAGACATTTAAAAAAAGCAAACTGGACGGAACCCTTTCAATGCGAGGACAACTCGCACTTGTCTGTTTTTATTCTTATTATAATGCGTAATGTGTACCTTTTTTTAACGATTGCTTCAATGTCTTTGCACATCGAAGCTCCTCCCCAGCTTATCTCCTCAAGACTGCTGATATCATACTTATCCACCAAGGGGCTGTTGCTGAGAAATATACAGAGGGTCGGAACCACTAGCATACGGTTCACCCTGTATTCTTGTATACATCGTAAAAATACGTCAGGTTTAAATTTAGATAGAACAACAGAAAGCGATTGACAGTACAATGAAAGTACTTGCTGCATGCACCCTATCAAGTGGTAAAGAGGGAGACATATCAATCGTACACAGTCCTTGGACATGGTTCCAAATAGAGGATCACTAAAAAAAATAATTAAGTATTCAAAAGTTGGATAAACAATTAAGATCACTCAAATGGAAGAGGCCTAAAAACATGGCGCCAATAAGGGGCTGTCATTTTGAATTTTTTAAAATGATTAAAATGGAAACTAACATTATAAATATTGGCATTATATGTGATTGGACCGACACAAACCCACGAAAATGGAAAAAAACAAATCCGAAAGTCAACCTTCAGATGATGAGAATTTTAGTATCAACTGTTTACGAATATCAGAACCANAAAATAAAATAAATAAAAATAATTTGTAATATGTTAAGTGCATAAGCACACGATCAGTTGAGAGAAAGGATGTTGGAGTATGAACTTCAGGATGTTATTATTTTTTTTGAGCGACGCGACGTTTCGTTGGACTCAACGTTAACCATCCAAATTTATGAAAAATATTGATTATTACTTATGATTTTGTATCAATTTTTTTTGGAGTCACCTTTAAAACGTAAACACTTTTAATTTTGAAATTTAGGTAGAAAACAATATTTTTTAAAAATTCCAATGGGTTAGAAATTTGAATTGTTTTTTCCATTTTCTGGCTTGGTTTCAATGCTTTAATTTTTTTACAAAAAAAATCACAGTTGGCAATTATGGTTAAAAAAATCGACCCTTTATTATCTACTCAAAAAGTTAAATTAAAATTATCCTGCTAAAATTTGAAGTATGTTTTAATATATTGTTATGAATTATCGCAGACGATTTCTGAAAGTTTCAGGTTTCTAGGTAATTCAGAAGAAAAGTATTGTTTTAACTTTGAAAACACTTTGATAAGCGTATTCTGTTAACAACCCCAACACATTCGTACTCACATATGTAATCACAGGTGATAATGTTTTTTTGTGCAATTTTCCACCTTTATTTCCTTTAATTCACAAACTGACGTTAAGCCACAAAAAAAATAAAAACAAAAACTAATTGAAAGAGATACGTATTATAAACAAATACAACAAACAAAATGTTACTTTAAATGGCCAATTTCCAATTAAAAGATACACATTCTCCAACGTTTAATTTAAATTTTAATCATCTATATCAGCACCTGGATGAAAGTATTAGTTTAAGGTAGGGTAGATTCGTATGAGTTGAAATATTTTTGATAAAGTCGCTAATCTTCTCCGACCTTCTTTACAAAAATAGCAAAATTAACTAGACACTGAACACTTAAACGTTATTTTTGTATTTGCTACTATAAATTATATAAAAACTGAAATGATTACACTTAATAATACGACGCTACCGAGCGTCAAATCTTCTCAAGATAAATTTGGAGTTTCAATTTCGGAAACGAGGTGTTTAAATGGAACATGGTAAATGCCATGAGTATGAAATGAAATTAGTTATTAAAAAGTAAGGAAATTTACCTGAGCAATGCTATGTTTTGGGGCATTTTTGAGGGCTTGGAACAGGAGCTGTCCTACGGGCAGTTCCGGAATACCGGAGTTACCTTTGCGGCCCTTAAGAATTTTATCACAACTTTTGTCTGCCATTACTACTAGATACTGGTTGTTTGAAACTGAATGAGTAAAATTTTATCAATCGTATTTTTATATTAGTTGATAATTTGTCTGGTTATTATCAAGTCGTTGTGTATTTCCTCTTCTAATATTTATGAAAATGTAGAACATGAATGATAAATTAAAACTTGAATGGGGTGAAAGTACAGCAGTAAATGTAAACAGATAGCAGGACGTATGCCTATAAGAAATAACTAGTAATATGAATATACAGCAATATTTAGTGAATCAAACAAATAAATCTTTCAGTTTACACAAATTAGTTGGTCATTCTTCTTACTAAAGATAATATTGATTATTATTATTACAGCATAATTGAATGAGGGTTTTGCTACGACTAGAGAGGGGGGTAAAAATCGACCTTTTTCTTTTGATCTCGCATAAGAATACACGAATTTTATGTTTCAGTAATGTTTACCAAACAGTAGTTCGATTAAATAAATTTAAGATGTTGATCAAGATTTTTGAAAATTTGTATCAAATCGAATTGCTTTCTCATCATGCTATTATTATTATCTATGCTAATATTTTAATTTATAGAGGTCGCTCAATACTTTTTTTAATTTTCTAATTGTGTAACTCTTTTGTTTACATAATTTTATATTAACAACCTACTTTGTTTTGTCTTCAAATTAGATCAGGATTCTATAAAAATTACATGTAAATGATAATTTGTCACCGATAGTATGAAGTTATTTATAAATANACAGAATGCTTTATCTGTAGTTTTAGTATAAATTAAAAATTTGTGATTTACATAAATTTAAAAACAAACACCCTAATTTACCAAACGGAAGAGCTGTTCTTAACGAATATAACTAGTTCGCCTTAGAAAACGTACCCAGACTACGTGACTCCCCAGGGGAAGGGGGGTCTTCAATAATACCATGCTTGGTCACATGGACGAGCGGGCTTAGGTTTTCGTCACGTAGTCAATATCCTCTAGGGAAATTAGATATTCAAAACTTTCTGTTTGCGAAAAATTATTTAAAACCATATTTATAAATTACTTTGTGAAAATTAGATGGGGAGGAATATACTACGGCTGGTCACTGAGGGGTGGTAAAAAATTTGAAAAAATGGGTAACTTAGTATGGCCACGTACAATCTGCTATCCTCTATTTTATAATTTACATCCCTAAATATATGAAAGGAAATTTTTGTATTTTCTTTCATCGGGATATTTTGTATAATACTATTTGCATTTTAATTAAGTTATTTTCACATTTAATATAATGTAACCGGTTCGAACATGGCATCGGGTAAAGCAGTATTCATTATTCTGAATACCATTTGAAGATAATAAAACGTTTTATTATGCTATTATGCTTCCGATTTTCAAGTTAAAAACGACGATAGTTGTTATTGATGGAACGACTGTTGTAAATAAATAAATAAAAAAACACCTTATCGCAATGTTGTTAAAGAAAATAACAGTACTATTACATTAGCTACTACCATAATAAATGATAAAATGTCTAAACGTATATGTACCTATAGATATCTAACTACAATTAACAAATTTTAAATACATTTGTTGTACCACATACCTTACTGATGGTAGAAGGAGGGTTCATACTGTTGACTTGACTTGCTCTTGTTAGCAAACACTGGGCAGATTGACACTGACGCTTTTGATTTCGTTTTTGTATTGGCAAGTTTCGCCACAAATAAGTGATAAAAACTATGTAAACTTGGGCGATTATGAACAAACCTTGAAAGCGTGTGGTTTACTCGAGAAATAAAACAAGAAGAAAATACTCTTCCCCCTTTTCCTTCGGAAATATTAACCCCGCAAGTTACGATAAAACACAATTTGTGCACTGTTTGTATAATATATTTAAAATAAGAATCGAGATACAGAGAGGAAATGTTTGTGGACAGGCATGTAAACATTACAGATAACAGGACTACCTATTATTGATGATTATTTACTTGAATAGAGCTACGTGAGGTCATCAGAAATATTCCTTGGCGATATAAGCGAGGGTGGCGCATATACAGGGTGATTTTTGCATTGTTGTAAGTTTCACAAAACTATGTCACCGCTTTTGTTTCTGTTTATTAAAATTTCTGTTAATTGGGTGTAATAATATACCTCCTCGTAATTAATTGTATTCTAAATAGTAAACAAACACCTGCAGATGTTTCACAATATATTAATGAATTAATTTCCTGAATTAAACATAATGTTTTGTAATAATAAATGAAAAATTTATAAAGACGTTAAGATTCACACTAAAACTTTATAAAGCTATTTTAAGAAACATTCAATTTTTTGTTAGTTATTGTGTTTGTTACAGGGAGTTCAATTTTAATGAATGATTTAGGAAGCTTTTTTTAAAAACATAAAAAAAACAGATTTTGTAGCAGTTAGCAAAAGCTAGTAGATCTTTTTTGGAGGAAAACCCATTTTTAAATACTTATTTATTTTGTGCCCAAATAATATTTCTTTGTTTTATATCCTCAATATCCAAATTCCTTGTAGCCTCCATAGCTGGTGTTGTCATGCAGACCTTTGTAATAATTCTTGAACCATCCGACACCCCTTTCTTTGCATTTTGTTTGCAGGTTTGCGTAATATCTCTCACTTTCATCTGTTGGACCTTCTAAGCGAGAATATCCACAATTGCGAGGACTTTTAGGGGCTGACCCTTTGGTGTTTGAGCTCTAATAATTAAAAAAGTAAAATCAATAGAAATCAATCAAATCTTTGTGGCAATCCTTACTATTATTTTATTAATACAATGGATCATCATGAAATTTTGTACACATATTTTTAGGGGTACAGAAAAGCACATAAGGTACTTTTTAACCAGAAGAAAAAATGCTGTTTCCAAGGGAGAGAAAAATAAGTTTTATGTGGTCGTCGATGATCATTGTCACGCGTTAAGGATATCAATGCGAGCGAAGCCGCTAAACTATTGGTTTATAAAGGATTCATTCGCACGATTCCCATATACCTGCTTTTGTGCAAATAAAATTAAAATTTAGAAAAAAGTTTTGTTTTAATAAGAAAAGTTTGATTTTATTACGTTCTTTTGCTATTTCTATTTTTAACAAGGCCAATAGTTCAGAATAGTTTTAAAATTTTTCTTTTACTAGAACCTAAAAGTCTAATCGATATTCCTTGTTCATTGTTAGTATATTTTTACAATATAAATAGAAAATATGCCCTAACAATTATCTATTTTAGCGACCAATATTTATTGAAAATGGCAGGTTTTATCAGTTATACGAAAATGACGCATATTTTTCGAATGTTTTGATACAGTAGGGTTATCACCGACTATATAATTATTTATGCAACAAATGTTTTTTAAACAAGATTTTTTTGGTTTTTGGATAATGAACGTAATTAACAAAATGTGAAAATTATTGTATAGGAATGCGTATTTATTTTTCTTTCCAGTATTATCATCTTTGACGTAATTATTCTCTTCTTTGTTCACATAATAAGCTATTCATATCGGGGTGGTAAATTACCAACATAATGAACGTACTTTGACTTTGTTTTTAAAAGAATTTTCCGAAATTTGAAAGCCTCCCAAGGACCGTCCCCTTAGTCCCTTTCCACCCTTAGTTCACTACTGCATTTAAGTACAATTAATTTCTTTTTATTAATTTATGTATGGTTCTACGAAATTAAAATGTAATGTAATTTGTGGCGATGGTTTTACAAGGAACATTTTGTTAACAAATTTGAGTACACATTTACAATCTTGAAAAAGGACTAGTCTTTCGAAACAATTTTAGAATGCATTTTTATGTGCAATTTTTGAAACATTTCATTGCGTTTTGTTCAGTTAATTATACTGTTTAGTTTATTATATTATAATTTGTTAAGGTCGACTGATTATAATTATAGTATTTGTACAGAATGCTTTATCTGTAGTTTTAGTATAAATTAAAAATTTGTGATTTACATAAATTTAAAAACAAACACCCTAATTTACCAAACGGAAGAGCTGTTCTTAACGAATATAACTAGTTCGCCTTAGAAAACGTACCCAGACTACGTGACTCCCCAGGGGAAGGGGGGTCTTCAATAATACCATGCTTGGTCACATGGACGAGCGGGCTTAGGTTTTCGTCACGTAGTCAATATCCTCTAGGGAAATTAGATATTCAAAACTTTCTGTTTGCGAAAAATTATTTAAAACCATATTTATAAATTACTTTGTGAAAATTAGATGGGGAGGAATATACTACGGCTGGTCACTGAGGGGTGGTAAAAAATTTGAAAAAATGGGTAACTTAGTATGGCCACGTACAATCTGCTATCCTCTATTTTATAATTTACATCCCTAAATATATGAAAGGAAATTTTTGTATTTTCTTTCATCGGGATATTTTGTATAATACTATTTGCATTTTAATTAAGTTATTTTCACATTTAATATAATGTAACCGGTTCGAACATGGCATCGGGTAAAGCAGTATTCATTATTCTGAATACCATTTGAAGATAATAAAACGTTTTATTATGCTATTATGCTTCCGATTTTCAAGTTAAAAACGACGATAGTTGTTATTGATGGAACGACTGTTGTAAATAAATAAATAAAAAAACACCTTATCGCAATGTTGTTAAAGAAAATAACAGTACTATTACATTAGCTACTACCATAATAAATGATAAAATGTCTAAACGTATATGTACCTATAGATATCTAACTACAATTAACAAATTTTAAATACATTTGTTGTACCACATACCTTACTGATGGTAGAAGGAGGGTTCATACTGTTGACTTGACTTGCTCTTGTTAGCAAACACTGGGCAGATTGACACTGACGCTTTTGATTTCGTTTTTGTATTGGCAAGTTTCGCCACAAATAAGTGATAAAAACTATGTAAACTTGGGCGATTATGAACAAACCTTGAAAGCGTGTGGTTTACTCGAGAAATAAAACAAGAAGAAAATACTCTTCCCCCTTTTCCTTCGGAAATATTAACCCCGCAAGTTACGATAAAACACAATTTGTGCACTGTTTGTATAATATATTTAAAATAAGAATCGAGATACAGAGAGGAAATGTTTGTGGACAGGCATGTAAACATTACAGATAACAGGACTACCTATTATTGATGATTATTTACTTGAATAGAGCTACGTGAGGTCATCAGAAATATTCCTTGGCGATATAAGCGAGGGTGGCGCATATACAGGGTGATTTTTGCATTGTTGTAAGTTTCACAAAACTATGTCACCGCTTTTGTTTCTGTTTATTAAAATTTCTGTTAATTGGGTGTAATAATATACCTCCTCGTAATTAATTGTATTCTAAATAGTAAACAAACACCTGCAGATGTTTCACAATATATTAATGAATTAATTTCCTGAATTATTTTACCTACCACAGACAACATCAAATTAACTAGGAAAAATGCCAAAAGAAACAATTTTTAAAATTAAAAACATTACACTTCCGCTTCCGCAAAAGTTTTCTACTGTTAACTACAACAATGTAACACACTTTATCGCTTCTTGGCTCTCCTTGTTTCGCTTTCTGTCGCCTTGTAACTAGAAAAAACTTTGGATTAAGGCCGGAGGATAGGGCGGAAAGTCTTCTTCAGCCTGCTGTTAGGAATCATGGGTAAGGGTGGGTGGCGGTTGGACGAACGAAATGAAGACAGAAGAGAGTGAAAGATTGTTATAATCTAAAGTCTAAACATGTTGGATAAATTTAGAAAATGATTGACATGTTCCTCGAATGTGACCGATAACATGTGTTATTTTATTAATAAATTGGATTGGGTAATCGATATTATGCTTACATCGTTATGTCAACATTCTGGGGCTTTTCTAGAACGTTGTTTAGACCGTTGCGGTATTGAATTAAGTGCAAAATGATTGATAGCAAAGCCATCTTCATTCTTTTAATCGTTTTTGTGAAGTAACCATCAGTGTCAATTGAAGCACTGTTTCTATCCCGATGATTCTTTAAGGCTCGGAAATCCCACTCCATATCTTGTCATTAGCTGTCATTGAGAATGGTCTTTCTTCGTCGACTACGATTCTCTCAAAAGGCGCACCCCTGACACTGTTTTTGAAGCTTACTGACGTGACAACGTCTTATAATTCGATGGAGCCGGCTGCATGCACGAAAAAAAATGACTCATGCGGCGTTACCTCGCTCTGAGGCGTTCCATTTAAGGCTTGAAGGGCAAGCGAGAGCGCGGAACGAGCGACAAAGAGGCACAATCGGCCTCCGCGTTCGGCAGCGTTCGACATCTGTCTCTCTCCTACTTGAGTGAGCGATGCGTCCGCGTGGACAGCTGATATACAATAATACATTTCCATTTACCTCCTTCTCTATATCCATACAAAATATCTATCAAACAAATAAAATTAAAATTTTCTTTTGAAAAATGAAACCATTCCATCAGTATTTTCTTATGACGTTGTCACGTTTAATTATCGTCGGTAAACCGACTTTACAGACAACCGATTTTTTTTAGTTCCATCTGGATTCTCTCACACTCTTTTTAAAATGCCGTGGTTTATGGAAATATAATTCCGTTGGGTCCGATAAATTTTTATCTTTTCAAGATCCCTAGGGTTGAGCGTCGATTAGATTACAACAGGTCGATGCCAGTCCTTTCTTTTTTACACATGAACAATGTCTGCAGTTTTCCACGAAGGTTTCCAGGATAGTGCAACTGCATTGCCATGTTGTTTGCCTGGACGACAGTCAATATGGAACTGTTATTCTTGATATCGCTGTAATCAGCGTGCATTCCAAAAGACCTGAAATTGCCATAGGCCATTTCCAGTAGTAAATGCAATTTTCTGCTTGTCTATCGGATGTATATCAACCTGCCAGTATCCAATTTTTGAAGTGTATAATCATCTGATCGTTTTTGAAAATACAAATTAGAAATACGTGAAACCTGAAAAACACCCTTACTTAAGGGATATACTGTAACCCCGGAATGTTTCGTTATGAGTACAACATTACACAGGCATTGAAACTAGGTAAATGTATCAGTAGGTATAGCATTTTCAAATGAATAATATTTATTTATTTGTTTAATACAAAATAAATGTACATTTTTCTTATTTGGTAAATTAAATTAGGACGAATGCAGCCGCATATAGTAACGTAATACTCTCCTATTAATAGATAAATACATAATTAAACATAAAATTTTTTATTGAAAGTATTTGTTTATTTTAATAAACTGGGTTTTTTCAATCTATCGACACATTTAATAAAACTGTATCAAAATAAACTTATTTGTTCCTTTTCTAGTGTAATACTGATAGTATTATGACAATTACGTCATAGGGTAGAAAATCTACGACCTTATTACTAGGGACAAACCGATACCATGTGAGTAGTGATGCTTTCACCTGGTAGAATGTATCGATACCTACTCGATATTTTTTTTACAGTCGGTGACATTAAAGCATAAAACTAACGTACTATTACAATGTAGTTGGGGAAAAAAAAATAATCAAACTCCCTCCTCCCATGTAACAAAATTGACGCAGTACTAACCCTTGGCTTGGCAGCATCAGTGTTGGCAGATGGGTGGAACAGAATATTGTACCAGGGTCGTAGAATTATTGTACTTTAAGACAAACTACTGTACTTTTTGTAATTATCGTAATAGTTGACTAATTTTGTTTTAAACCTACCTACAATATTACCACATGGAAAAATTAACCACCCATAGAAATTATTGCAGTGTATTATTATAATAAACTTTTCTTTTCACGATTTGAAATCCAGAACACATAAAAATTGGCGGGTGATTTAAATTTTTTTGGATACTTATAAAATATCTGGATTTTCAAAATTATTGTACTTTTAGGAATTATTGTACACCTAACATTGTAGATTGTACAAAAAATTAAATTATAGTACATGTACAATAATTATAGTACGTCTGCCAACACTGGCAGCACTTCTCTTCTCAATTCCGTTACGCAACGCGTGAACTGTAAAGGTTTTAGGCTTGAATTCATGATAATAATTTACTTTTAGATAAACAAATACAATTTCTAAGCAACATTAAAGTATGGAAATTCATTTCTATGATGTCTGGATTACTAGGTCATATCCCAATCGTCGCAAACCTAGACCGCAACCTCCTCCCGTAACAGGACCGTGACGCCGGATTGGGCCCTACACTCAATTTACATTAGATAATTTATGAATGACCCCTTACAAATTTACTTTGCTACTTGCGATTTTAACGAAAAAGGTCCACTTTCTCACAGTTTTTCAAAACAGTAACTGCTAGTTACATTCGGTTGAAATTAAAATACATGCAATGGAAAATTCAAGTTTGTCAACAAAATTAAAAATGCAATCATAAATGTGGCAAATAAACAGTCCCAGAAGAAAAACTGTCTTGGATCAATTGAATACTGATTCATTACTTATAGGTATCGAAAGTAATAGGTATCGAAAGTACTTGGTATCGAAAAGAAAGTATCGAGTAAATATTTGTATTTACTTGGATTGTTTCATCCCAACGCGTGCTTTATCACTACTGTATGAGTTTCGGAAGTAACTATAACAATTTTATCGGCTTAATATTTCTTGAATCTCGGAAAACGTTTTTCCTTTCGTTTCTACGATAAAGAAAAGGGTGAAAAATGCCCCTGAGAGACAGGAAGCCGAAAAAATCCAATAGGTAACACCTAGTCCAACAGCATTTTGTACAATACTGAAAACTCTGACCACAATGAAAGCCATAAACGAGCTGTAACATGCCGTTATGGTAGAAGAAGCAGCTTTCACATCAGCTGGGAAGAGCTCGCCCATTAGTGTCCAGGGTAACGGGCCAAACCCGAAGTTGTATGTAATAATAAAAGCAATCATAGTAACAATAGGAAACCATCCAATACTGCTCACGTCGTGGCCATTTTCTTTTAAATAGAAGTAAACCCCAAGTGGTACTATTGATATCACCATTCCTATTGCTGACATCAAAAGCAACGTCTTCCTTCCCAGTCGTTCCACCAAAAGAGGAACCGTTAAACCTACAACAAATTGGACTACTCCAACTATAAGGGAAGAAATGTCGGAATTAATTGAACCTCCAGAAGCATTAAAAACATCAGACGCGTATGTTAAGACGATTGGGAAACCGGAGAATTGGACGAAGGTTACTAGACCCAAACATATCAACAAGCCCTTTCTCAAACCACGGCTTTTTAACACGTCAATTATTGTGCCTCTACTTTTCATGTCGTTTTCGACATTTTCCTTAATTATAGCAAATTCTTTTTCAATTCCCCCTACGGTTGTACCCCTAAGTTTTGCAAGGGACGATTCAGCAGCAGGAATATTGTTTTTTGAAATAAAATAGTGAGGGCTGTCCGGGAAGAACGAGAACAAAATCACGAAGGCAGCTGGAAATATAGCGCAAATAATGGTGAACCACATAACTGGTATGAAGGGTCCCAACGCGTATGATACCAGTTCTCCACTAACCATAAAAATATTGATAAACGACGTCAAAATTCCTCTTATTGGTGTTTCAGATATTTCTCCTACGTACATGGGCAATGCAGTGAAAACTACACCCATACCCATACCTCCGATGAACCTCGCCACGTAATAGAGAACTGTGGTTTTAGCGAATGCTAACATTAGAAATGACGTTGTTAGGGGAATTCCAGATGCGTAAACTAGAGTCCATTTACGTCCAATTCTATCTACGAGGAATCCTGCAACGAATGGTCCAGTTATGGCTCCACAGGATAAAAGAGATGCTATCCAGGATTGCTCTTCGGTGGTAATGGGTCTATCGAAAGGATTTTCATCCAAGGTACCTGTACTGTTGTTCATTTTCGGTAACACAGGAGATGTCCATGTTAAGATCAATCCAACGGTGAATGCTGCTAAATTACCTAAAAAATTAATAGCCAACATCAGCATATGACGACATATTGCCTTGACTGGATATTATAAGTATCTCTAATTTGATCTGTTTTTATTAAATTTGTCTCTTCGTCTGTTTGTCTGCCATTGTGCCGGTGGTTAGCTAAAAATATTTTCTTTCGACAATGCAGTGTTATGCAAAAACATTGCACAGATTTTTTGACGTGACAACGTCTTATAATTCGATGGAGCCGGCTGCACGCACGAAAAAACATGACTCATGCGGCGTTACCTCGCTCTGAGGCGTTCCATTTAAGGCTTGAAGTGCAAGCGAGAGCGCGGAACGAGCGACAAAGAGGCACAATCGGC